CCATCAGTTTGCCTGAGGATGAACAAAATAAGCGCTCTTGCAAAAATTTCAACACCTGTTTAACTTCTGTTGATTTTTTCTAGAAGCCTGCTTTTATATACACCTGAAATTTTCCAGTGTTTTCCCTTCAGAGTTCAATTTCTTCCAAAAATGCCAATAACTTCTGTGACTAGGTTATTCTCAAATTGTAATACATTGTCTTCTGGTGAAGAATAATTGCCTACTCACCAAAATAACCTATGTTGGTGAAGCTTCTTGAACACTTTGCAATATCAAAACCAGCATGGCCTCCATATCCAACAAGTTTATTTGGTACATCTACCAGTTTTTCTACTTTACAAACAGTTGGACATATTTCTGGAGAAAGGCTATGACATCAAGGAAAAACTGGTGGTGTTTGGGCGTCTAGAAATGGAGGAAGAGAAATCTATCACCTCTGATGATAAAACTTTTGTTTGTTAACCTCCACTCAGTCCATCTAAAGACCTGGCCCTCTCCTCCACGTGTCAGATCTCAATACTGTTAACTCTTGGAATCTACTATTTCTGCAGCAATGACAACTGTTGGTTTTCCTTTAAAATACAAGGCCTAGGTTGTTTCTACAGAACTTCTATCCAGGTCAGCAGTTCATTTTTATCGGGTAACACAGACAGCTTTTTTTCACATGCATCACAAAGTAGACCTAAGCTACAGCTAGCAGATGTGTGCCATATTTATTCAAGTTACGTTCTACTTAATGGTGCTTTTGACTACCTTCTCTCTATTACTCAGTGGTTCAGATCATCACAGTAAGCTGATAAACTTTGTTTTAATAGTAACATTTGGCATATTCAAGATCATCTTTACTCTCAAGCTGGCAGTCCAACACACGCAAACTCAGGACCTGCACTATGTCCAGCAATGGATTCCCCCCATATAGTAACTGTAGTTATGCAGGAGGGAGTGTTTTTATCTTTCCTTCCTCAAATTATCCAATAGGAAATACAAGTCCTCACTTATTTCAAGCCTCCTCATACAGAAATAGTAATATGGCATAGCTCGCATTATGAATCTTACTGATTTTGTTGACAGCCACCAGGCTTTAAAATGAGGGAGTCCTAAGTATTCACAGTAATACCAGCATATACTGTAATCTCCAGGCCAAAAAATGCTTGCTCTTGTCTTTGAATATATTCTGTGGAATTGTTTTATTCACAGAAACAATTTCTAGCTAGATGTTATTGAGAACTGCAATGATACAGTGTAAAACTGGCCCTTGCTTTGTCCTTTTTTCCTCTCCAGCTATCACTCTGCAGTCCAGAACACAAGAAAGTAATGATAGCAAAGAAACTTAAGCCACCACATTCCATTCATCAGAAACAGAAGATTGCAGAGTCCAGAGCTATAAGGGAATGGCATGGAGGGAAGGCTGCCTCCAGCCCCGCACTCCACCCCTCTCCAGCTTAACAGGATCCTGCTACAAATAAATTGGCACATCTGCTGTTTAATCTGCTTGAAAGCAGAGATCTTCAGCAAGGTTTATCAAATGACAGTGAAAGCATTATTATTATAACTGAAGAAAAAAATATGCACTATATCCTCCAGAGATAGGTCATCTAAACTCGTAGTTAAACTTCTAAGATCAGGATTAAATACCAGTATCGAAGGACAGCTCACCGGAAGTGGAAAGGATAGGTTCTTGTTAAGACTATTTGTCTGTTTCTATTCAAACAAAATTTTAATGAAACTTATAAGAATCCTATGCCCAGATACCTCCTTTTTAGTTTGTTTTCTTTTTGAAAATCCAAATCGTTAGTCAGGAAAATTATAATGACAGTAATCAAGATACATCAATAGGCATCATTCGAGCTTGAATAACTATTCTAAGCCAACACAGAATTTCCACTGTTGTACTAAAATTTTGAAAATACTAATCAAAGAGAATGCTTGGTATTCCTCAATGCAGTTAGTGTTGATATAGGCTCTGCTGCATAAATTTAAAAAAAAGAATCTATGTTAATTTTTGTGCATGTGTATATATACGTGCATATATATATATGTATACACACACACACACACACACACACACACAGAGTTAAGAGTGTTGCCCACTCTTCCTTAACCTAAAGAAAGCAGTGGAAAAACTCAGCAAAAGACCATAGAAGCAGCTCAGATAAACTAACAGGTACATGCACTTCATTATAATAATGAAGAAACTTCTGGTTTAGCCTCAAGTACAACAGAATTAGTTGTTACCTTAAATTTTACCATTAAATAATAACACAGTAAGTTAACTGCAGTAAAACTACAACAACCAATACCTTAGAAAAAACCCAAATACATACATACCTTCACTACAAAAGGGTCTTTTGATGCCAGAGAAATTCACCGTCTCATGCAGCGTTTTCTCTTCTTGACAGTATTCACAGTATGTAACTATGCAGTGCAGTTTCTTATAATCATCAGAACATGCTCTGCTGCAGAACTGATACACTTTGTTCTAAATGCAAAGTTGCAAAGCATCACAAATAGGGTTAATGGATAAAATCTTAAGGTCTCGACAGTGCAACTTTAAATAATAGTTTGCCATTAAGACGTAACTTTAACATGGAAAGTAAACAGAAGTGCAAACACACAATTAGGGTATGACTTCTAATGCTAAAAATTAACAACTCTCACTCAAGCTGACAGCGAGTGTTACAAATACTCATCATCTCATATGAAAATGCTAAACAGGAAATATGCCAATCAATCTTTGCATATCCTCTTCACATACTTCTCTCAGTTCAGAGAGAAGTGTAACAACGGTCTGTCATATCTACAGTCATACAACAACTAAAGATGAAAGCAGATTTCAAAGTTACAGCTGATCCGAGAAACTACGTTTTTTTTGAATACCACAGATGCTTTTTTATTCGTTATTTATGAACAAAGATGACTGCTTTTATCCATACTGAAGTTAAATGAAATTCTACAGAACTAGGTAAATTTTAACTTAATTTTTTAAGCTTCCATACCTTATAAATTAGCTATCTAGAAAAAATGTATTGGGGTTACAGGTTTAAACTTTTAAACACTACATCATTCTAAAAATAACATCAAAACCCCTCTTACCTCCCATTCCAGTACTTCTGGCTTTGAACAAAAAGCACTTTTGCAATAATTACATTTCAACTGAATATCACTGGGAGAGACAAACTGACCATTTGTTGAAGACTGCACACTGAGAGTCTGAAAAACAAAAATATATAGACACATCACTAAAATAGAAAGCTACTTTTACAATGTGCTTTTTTCAATTAAGCCTATAGTGTTTGAGAACTTGGGAGTTTATTTATAAACTCAGCAGCATTTCTGGCAAAAGCACAGCAGGTTAGTCTTTTCTCTTAACTCCTTTTCCCTTGTCATCTTAGGTTTTCCAATCTTGAATCTTTACCCTTGCTTCTACCGTAATTAGTTTAGGTCACATTTCTTTTACCTTACCTTTCTAATACCTGTTATTTAAGGGTAATTATAAATGCAAAAATAATTGTCTCCTGAAACTGAATACCTGTTAATCACAAAACACGTATTTTCAGATTAATACATTTCACAGCTTGCCTTGTCACAGAAGTTCAGACGAAGACCTACAACAAATATTTTCAAATCCAAACCTCACTAAAGTGGATTGTCAACACCTTACCTAAGCGTACCACTTGAAAATACAAATACTAAAGTAAAAGGCCTCCAGTGAGAAACCCTACATCTACCCAGATTAAGAGAAAACTAGCTAATAGTCTTGCTAGCCTCAATCACCATTGCAGGAAGATGCAATCATTCAAAACAGCCAGCCCCTAAACAATTAAGGGTTTTCAGACTGAAAAAAACACTATAGATTGCACGTGTAAGTATGTGAGTTATTCAGTTACAGAATTAAATTCTCTCAATGCATTTCTGAGACAATTAGTAGATAGAGAACTCAATTTTACAGTACCTGTAGTCTTCCAGAATGTCTTATAGGCCTGCAGAACATAGTCTTTTGTATGTTCCCTACATTAAGCAACAACTATTGCTGTATTACACATGATGTTCAAGACAAAATTCGAATCAGTAGCAATCACAGTCACTTGAAGAATCCAGAGGACAAATTTCTTACATCCGTCTTCTCAACAAACTTTCCCACACTGTTTGCAAGAAGACAAATATATTGCAACAAGACAAGTTCTCTTCAGACAGATTTATTACTACCTCTCCACCTTGTAACAGTGAAAATGTAAATATTTGTTACAGGACACTTTTCTTCAGACTTCTGTGTTACTAAGGATTCACCTACGCTTAAAAAAAAAAAAAATAAAATCGTGATGAGACTGATTACTGATATAAACCTTCACATAAGTGGACCGGTACTGCTGAGTGCTAGCTAGCAGTGCAAACAGTGTCATTTTATGCAGATGCACTAATTCTGTATCAGGAGTTTGCAGACATTAAGTAGTCATGCACATTTCCCAGTCACGGACAGGACCTGAGACCAAAATGCCATACACAGCAGAAAAGATGCCACCTTTATCCTAGTGGTCCATTGTACCACAACAACTTTAACAGAGTCTGATGCCCACATACAGTATTGTCATATTCTTCCTGCTATATCCAGCAAACATCCTTGTAGTTTAGAGCAGCCAAAGTCTAGCAAACCTCTCTCAGTAGGTACCTGAAGACTTGTACTAACATGGGAACCACAAAGGTACTTTAAAGTTCAAGGTCCAACCTATGCATTTCTGCATTTGCAGGTTTCTTCACAGAGCAAACACTGTGCTTGACTCGTGCTGCCATATGGGTTGTATAAGCACAATGAAAGCCCTAGAAGTTCCGGTTTAAAACAAAAAGAAATCAAGAAGCAAGCATACCCACCACCTCCAGTTCAGGAATGAAGGAAATGTTAAAGAAGTAGCAGATGCAACAATTTGTATGGAAACACTGAAGACAGGGGAAGGAATGAAGATGAAATATAGTAAGTGCTCATCAAATGAAAAGCAACCATACTTTTTAATGCCTGTAACTACCTTTAAATATGGGACCAAAACACCCTGTTGTGAGGGCTACAAGTTAAAACTAAAACATGTTTTTTTGTTTTCTGATGTATGACACTGTTAGCCGCTTCTATTTCTTTTCCCAACTGTTTGCTGTGGTAGAAATTCAGGCCCTCCATAGTCTAGGGGGCTGGTGACTGACCAATAACAAAAGCCAGAGATGTGAGAACAACGAGTTTGAGACTGTTTAAAATTGAAACTTGTTGTAAAGAATACTTACATCTAACTATAGATTTAAATATCTAAACAATTAAGCATTACTGCTTATAAAAAACCACAAATGTTTTTTATCATGAACACCTAAGGGCAACTAAATATTTTCCCACAGAAACCAGTTAAGAACTGAACTCATATTACTGAAAGCTCTAAACCAAGCAGAAGATGGTTGTAAAACTAACACATCACAAGGTGATTTTGTATGCCTCCTTGAAGTTTCTATTATCCTGCTTACAATTACTGATTGCTTCTGTATAGTATTTTAACAAGTCAAGATGACATGCACATAGTATTTTCATCATCTTGCTTTGCCTCTAACTTACAAGATGCTTAGCATAGAGAATATCTTTAGGAATTATTTGGGAGCATTAGTACACACAAAGAATAATGCAGCAAAAAGATCATAAATTCATTAAAATCTTTCACAGGTCACCCCAAACGGCAAAGTTTTATCGATGTTGTGCTTTATCAAAGATACCTTTGAAATATATATATACACTATATATATATATAAAAAAGATATTCAAAAGAGCATATGCTCTTTTGAATATCTTAAATTCAATGAAAAAATAGTTATGTTTAGCTTGACTTTCCTTGAGTCTGCCCTGAACAACAGGCGCACAGGAAGTGCCAAGAAAAGCAAAAAATCATTGTAAAGCCCTTTTCAGTCTTCACTGCAACCACCTCAAACTGCTCTAAACTGTCAAATTACTAATGACCAGCAGGCAGACACAGCCTAGGACTCTTCTGGGAAGACCATCATCGTAGCACAGCTTCTGGCCTGCCCCTGCCATCGCAGCAGAAGCAATAGAGGGGTTATCCTTGCCCACAGGATCACAAAAATAAATTGAGGAAACATTTCTGTACACAAATTTAGACGTGGAAGGGCTAGTAGGCAGCCAGACTGTAGTCAGGTTTTTTTCTAGTTGAGAAAAAATAACTTTGAAAGATCAAGTTGCTCTTAACATGAAAAAGGAGAAGCAAATACGTACAAGGAATCTTATATACAGGCATCCACTAGGACTGTTCCACAAGCAAAATCAGGGGCACTAAATTAAATGGGGAAGGAATCAAACATGCCCCTTACGCTCGTGCACACACAGACCTTCCACCCTCAGCGTGGAAGCCTCAATTATTTTTATTATGATCCAACTTGGAAAAATATTTCTGTGACAAGCATGCCAAGCTTCCTCCACGTTTCCCACTGCAATGTCCTCCTTTTTTTAAATATATGTACATGTGTGTGCGAGAAATAGAGATGTTAGGTATTTAATGAAGAACACTTACAGACACCATAATGATGCTGAAAGAGAACACAACATTAGTGAATAACCAGAGCGAGTAACCTGCTAAAAACCATTGTACTTATTCTTACACATAGTAGGTCCTACAACTCTCCACATACATACATAAGCAGAAAAAAATTGAAGCTTTAGCACAAATTTTTTGAAAATTTTGCATAGACTCATGTTTTGCAAGACAGCTTGTACTTTAAGACACTTATGTATTTGCTAACTTTGGGAAGACACTTGTACTACAGCCTCCACTTTCACAACAAATAAATTAGCAGTTTATTTTTCCTTAAGAGACAAGTTCAGAGCAAGATCTTCAACTGACCCAGTAAAGGTACTGACAGCAAAACTGGCTTAAAACAAACCAACTTTGGAACAGTTCTGTCCTTAACTCCGCAATAACATCCTCCAGGACAGAGCATGAAAGAAGAGAAGATACAGTCACTCTATTCTACCACCAACTCCCAAACAAGTCACACTGAGCAGCCTATTCTCCCTCTTTTACCCTCTTTCTTACAAGGAAGAATGCTCTTGTAAGCTGTCCACACAAAGGAGAATATAGATATGGACCTAAGTTGCGCAACAAGCAGCTTGACTGAATCTTTCAAATACATTAAAACAAGTTAGCTAGAAACAAAAGATTATTCATAAGATCAAATTACAATCAACCCTAAAGTACTGTAAAAAAATTGGGAATTTAAATATTCCAACCCATTTGTAAACTAAATTTTTTTTGTAAACCAAAATTTTTGCAGGAGGGAGACAGGGCTGGAACAGCAGTTTTCTGTTTTGAGAAGGGTAACCCCTAATAAAGAAAAACATACAGGAAGAACAGGACCAGTAAGAAAAATGGATTAATATGCCAGAAAATTAAAACAAGTTATCTGCATTAGTAAACAGCGAAAAATACAGAGCACCACAGTAAATCAGCCATTTTTTCAAAAGATCATTGCAGAAAGCATTGCAATTGACTGAATGGATTAAACCATACTCTCAAGTTTAGGTTCAATCCCTAACATGTCACTTAAGTATAAAAAAAGCCTCAAGGGAACACTTCCAGTCCAGTCTAATGCTCACATTGTGGTATACCATACTTTCCATCTAAATACTAAATGAACAGAACAAAGAATCTATTCTCATACAATCAAGTCCTATCCAATCATGAATACATTTTATTCTTCTAGACAGTGCATATAGGAAAACTATCACAAGTCAGAATCTGACAGGGATGTTTGTGCAAACTAACTGTAAGCGAGCAACCACCTACCCTTGGCGGTCTTGGTCTTAGTAACTGAGAACTCACAGACTGTATGGCTGCTCTAATTAAACTCCACTACAACATTAGAGAGGCAGATCTACATGTAGCACTGAAATTGCAACAGAAGCATCAGCAAGGTCTCAGTAAGCTCAGAAACTCACAACCAGAATCAACTCATTGGGCAGTTATATTCAATAATGTTGCTTAATGTTGACTTATCTGCAAATCCAAGAAAGCCCAGGCTGTATTTGTCATTCACTAGCTTTACTTTTCTCACTCAAATAGTAGAAAGGTTTTGTTCTGAGAGCTCTTGGGGCTGCAATCAATTGTAAGACCATGTAGAATAAAATAGATGCTGAATGAGTTTGCAAGAAGTATTACAGATTTGTCATTACATACTAACAATCTGCTTCTATTCTGTTAATCAGTTCCACTGACAGACATCTACTACATTGGTTAGGATGGAAGCACAGAACAGGGCTACATGATGGAGGTCCTGTCCAGGGTATATTAAGGAGGCAATTAAGAGATTGATTTGCTTTCCAGTTGACAGAAAACAGGAAAGCTTAATGACAAATGGGAAAACCCTGTATGGGTGTAACTGTTCAACAGCACATGAGAAGGCAGTTATCAATTATACAGTGCACATCTGGGAAAACTGTTTTTACATATAAAAATTGAAACATTTTCTTCGAAAATGTTCTTTTATCACCTAGAGATTAATCACTACAACAGATTTTCCATATGCTTTAAGTCATATTAAAAATATGACATTTTCAAAAAGCATAGCAGCCTCTTCCAGTGTGCCTTTGCAACATTCAGCTAGTTTCATCCATAAACATTCTAATGGCTTAGGTTCTAACCTTTCATTTCAGAGGCAACCACTATTCCCCATGACACACCTTTGTTCATACAATATTCAACATGAGAATTTTATTGCTGTATTTAGTATAAAAGAGATTAAATTTGTTGATCTTCAATGCAAATCAGCAAGGCTCATCTTCATAAAGAGGCTGGAGTGGTAAAAGTAAGATGAGCACTGATATTGCTTTGTGTTTTCTTAGAGTATCAAGGGGAAATGGGTTGTTATTATCCGATTTTCTAAGTTTAATATAGCAGCTAGCATTATCATTATGAAAGAGTATTTTGATCAAAGAAATTATGAGCCAGAAGCATCTGCTATGTTAATTGTAACTCATAAACATGTATGTACAAGCAAGTTAGTTTAATATGCAAATACTAAACACAAACACAGGTACACAAATATTTAGGGAGGAAAAGATTTAACACAACAGCTAACCTGAAATTTAGCTACACAACTGGAACTGCAAAAGTTGTACAGTTTTCCATCAGGCATTGTGGCTTGATACTGAGGTAAAGAGTTTCGTTTACAAAAGTGGCAAATAATTCCCATACCTAAAAGAAAAACGTAGTTTACAAACAAAAGAAAGACAAAATAGTAGTGAAAAAAAAAAAAAAAAAAAAAAAAAAGGATTACAGGTCAGCTCTTCCCACCACTTCAATGTAAAAAGCTAAGATTTTCTGTTTTCCAGTCAGCTTCTACAAGTCACATAAAACAAAAGACACTGCAGAGGTTTTGTCAAATTCTTCCATTAAAGACCAGTATTAAATATGAAATAGCACCTTCTTCTATAAAACTCACTAGAGCATTTTCAACTTTGAGTATACTGAATTGAGATCTCTGCCTGCTTTGCATACTGAAGAACACACTTTTTGAGTTATTTACCAGTTCCTTTCACCCAGATTAAAAATTTTACCTAGAGAATATCCATATAGATCATAACTACCTCCATCCTTCTCCAGTTGTTGCTTGAGGAGATAAAATGAGGTGGGGTTGGATCACAGCCAAGAGAATATTAATCCATATGCATGAAAATTGCACTATCATTCTGTGACACATCAGAGCACATTATGTCTCAGTGTTTTTTCCCCAAAAGCCTTAAGACAGTTGAAAACTGTTTCTGATATCAAGCAAAAAGGCCAGTAGGGAAGATGATCCCTAAAGGGTCCGTTTATTAGTGCTGAATACAAGATGGTAATTTTTTTTTTTTTAAAGTAGGTTTAAAAACCTATAAAGTCATACCCATACCTGCATAGATTAATTCTAAACCAAAACAACCCACCCCCAATGTTGAAACTTAAAAAAAAAAAAGTCTGCTCTTATCAGTGGTGAAAATCCATCATCCTTTTCACTTACTTTGTGATTTTGCATATTTTGATTTGTGTGTGTTCATGCATGCAGTTGAGCAGTATGGCTCCATATATCCATTAGGTCCTATGCACTGAGTCATGTCAAAAAACCTGCACTGAGCTCTGCAGCCAGTACAGGATGTTAATTTGCCATATTTCTAAAACATAAAACAAAGCAAAACAATGCATTAGTTAAAACTATGTTTGGCTTTTCATATTAAATTATGGTACAATAAACACAGAGGAAAACTTATTTATTTACTTCTGCAGTTTGCTCCCCCATCAGAACCCTCCTGTATTAACTAACTCTCATGATGTCAAGAGCATTCAGCACTACGGTTGGATCTCTTACTCCAGGGGGAAAGCTGGCTAAAACTAAGCTTCTTTGTAAAGACAAAAACCAAACACACACCCCTCAAAAAAACCCAACCAACCAAACAAAAAACTCATCCCAAACCCCACCATCTGCAAACTGTGAACTGTGGTAAGAGTTGTGCAGAGTTGGAGAGTTTGAAACAACACTGTTCCTCTCTCCTTGCTGACGGTCGTAAAGAAAAGAAACAGGAGTCTGGCACGGCAAAGATGAAGGATAGATAATGGTACTAAACTTTGAAAAAACCCTGTAACATCCTTAATGCTATCAAGTTTGAGTTAGGCATAGCAGTTTCTTGGTAGCAGCACTGTTGAGACAACCTCTAGCTTCTCAACTCTCCTAGTTCCAGTTCTCCAAGCAGGAGAAACACACTGCAGAGTTCCTACGCCCCTCATCAGATCCAATGAGGAACTGTGACTCCGCAAACCTGGTAACAGACTCCGTTCTGACATCTCTCAACACAGCAGTCAGTCAATCAACAGTCATCCAAAGAAGGGAACAAATGTTCTACAAAAAGCACAGAAAAGTCGCACCAAGTAGAAATACCAGTGATGCCATCAATGCACAAAATCAATAGTTCTGATCTGCTACATGTATTACATGCTTCAGTGTTAGACAAATATCTCAAACACCATAAAGCAAGTTTCAGAAAAAAATGTCTGGACACCTTCCTTGCTCATAGAAATAGTATCATGGTTTTGACAGTGATCAAAGAGAATTCCTCATCTAAACAGTGGTAAGTCTCCTATCAGACAGGGTCTCTCCTTATTGAGTCCTAGAAAATACGCTATTGACACTCAGGCACTTAAGACTTCTTCCCTTCTGTTGAGGAATCGTTTTGG